AAGAAAAAGTTTGGAACTAAACTCGGCCTTAGATTCCAACTTTTTTTTTAAAATTCTAACTTTTCCGTCACATCAAACTTTCCACGCACGCAAACTTCCAACTTATTCATCGTATCATTTCAATTTCTTCAAACTTTCAATTCAATTCTAATGTGGAACTAAACACAGACAACTTCTCGTTTCCAACGCGCTTCAGGTATAAGTACGAAACAGTGCCTTGATGCAATCGCTTCAGGTGGAGGACACCGCACTGATTCGTGGTCCAAAGCCCAGAAACGTACACCCGAACAGAAACGATACTCTCACCGGTCAAAAGGGAAAGAATACCTAATATCGTTTCTTTGTTTTAAAAGAAAACAATCATCAATTTCTCTTAAAATATTATATATTACATATAGGAGCTTCAGTTCCTAAGATGTCATAAGATACTTCCTTGATTTCATCATATCAAATCAATTACAGAAGCAATAGACAAATTACAAAATATTTTTCAGGACATTCTTGTTCGTTTGGTGAGGTTGGGAACTCACCTCCAGTATACACAAAACAGAGTATCTCATTAGCGCATTATTAATTAAGTATTTGCTAGTTTTTTAAAAATAATAAATTAATATGATTTTTAAAACAACTTTAAAACTCACATTTATCAGTTTGAAAAACGTGCACGCAAAAAACGAGGGTGGTGAATTGAGAACTCTGTCAAAAGAAAATAGAGGTTTGCCTGTTTAAATTAGCGGACATAAAGATAATGGATAATCCAACCGATGAGGCTCTTAAGGATGAGATTAACCGATCCTTAGTCCATTCTTTTGTTGTTTCGTTCACTTCGACCACTCGAAATGTTCTTACAGTATACTTTACTGATCGTACAAAGACAATGGATCAAATTTTATGATGAATATAAATATGTAGATAACAAACCCCTTCAAAAAAAAACATTTCAAAACTTCATTTATCTATTATATACTAAAAGTCCATTAAACTTTCTAGAAACGCTCTTAAGTCGTCACGTGACATTCCTATAAATACTCATAAGCCGTCACATGGCACTGTTTAATCTCACCGTCAATTTTCACTTAAATTGGTGGACCCATTATTTTACACCATTAGATTAGATCTACTATTAAAAAATTAATAAATTCCTCCTACTTATATGATACACAGAGTATAACTGTTCTCTGGTACATACGTACCAACGATTGAAAGCAATTACCTGCTGTTCACAAAAAGAATCATACAAAAACTTAGATAAAAAAAGACAGTCAAAAATACATGCATCCATAAAAATAGATGGTCAACAGAAGTACGTAGGTGAGAGAGAGAGGACAGGAAGAGACTAAATTCTTTATTCAATCTAATCTAATGATTTAAATACTAAACGCATCGATTTAAATGAAAATCCAGGGCTATGTTTTTTTTAAAACTATCTACTTATGTATATATCTATTATATACTAAAAGTCCATTAAATTTTCTACAAACACTTCTGAATCGTCATATGTCACTCCTACAAACGCTTCTAGGATGTCACTCGGCGCTTTAATAAATCAAAGAAAATAATAAATATTCTAAAAATACAAAATCTAACCATCGATTTTCCTCGATTTTCCTTTCAATAAGGTGGACCCATCATGCATTCTCTACTGTTAGATTCATCTTAATAAAAAAAATAAGACAGGGAAAAGACCCATATTTTTGTAAGGTGGACTCGGACGGTCTATTATGCTATACCGCGCGTCCGGTTATGAGTCGGTTTGGCTGCGGCGGCAAGTTTATCGCTAATTAACTTATCTCTGTATATACGTAGCACAAGCTGATTAGCTCCCATATTGTGTTACCACTAACTCATAGCTATATTTATTATATATACGGCAATATATATAAATGGAAGCTAGGAGATTAACACTAAGATTATACATATATATAGCTAATTAAATTAGTTATACATGATTTGTGAAAGGAGATTAACGGCAATATAACATAGCTAATTAAATCAGTTTGCATGATTTGCGGCAACATTACATAGCTAATTTGAACCAATGCATTTGGCAGTCTCTTGATAAATTGTCCAGCTTACATCGGTGTATCTAAGATCTGATCTGTTTTAAGTCATCGTGATGTCTTTAAAATTAAAAAAGATTTTTTAAAAAACAAAATACATGATAATCGGTTTTAACTTAAATCGTTTAGAAAAATTAGAAAAACAAAGTCCCCTCCACCTCACCCTCACCATCACATACGCACAACGCTTTCCGTTCCCTCCACTTTTAGGCTTGGGTTCTCCGCTCTCCTCTTCTCTCTGTATCTTTTGGAGTAACAATGATAAAAGAGAAACAACCAATAATATCGAAACATCCATAGTTATATTAAGCTACATGTCTCATATCTATTCTAATTATTGATCTATACATAATTAAACCAATAAATTAAGATTCATAATAACTGGTATAAAATAGAAAAAAAATTGTCAATAGGGGATAAATTGAACCAATTATAGAACATCTAACAAATTTGTAAAGAAATGGTTTTTAATTTTCACTTAAACTGAAACAGCCGTTGCCATATCAATTAAATTGGCCTTCCCTCTATCTACGATGCCATGGCATTATGATGGCATTATGAGTTACTTCATGTATTATTATATATGTAATTCACACTAAAATAGCAATATCTAATTGGTTAAAAGTAATATTTGTTAGTATTAGATTTAAAATTTAAGACTCATATTGACTAGGTATATTTAAAAAGCTCTATAGGTCACACGTATCATAGGGAAGCAAGTTCTAGATTATGTATATCTCCTTCGCATTTATTGATCATATAAAGTATGTGTAACAAATTACGTCAATATGAACAAATTAGAGAAAGGGCTAGCTTGATAGTACAAATAAACATATTTATTAGCAATAATTGTTTTTTAAGATTTGTAAAACAAGGCTCTAAACATTCAATTAAAAAAGAAAAACACCTTACTTTTTATCCAAACTTAATTTATTAGAAATGTATGGTAAACAAACAAACTAATTAAGTCTACCTTATTTTTAAATAACTAGGAAGGCTGTAAATATTTAGTTGTATAGATGAATTAAGTACTATTATATATAGTATAAAGCTAACAAATAGCTTAGAAAATTTATTTGAGCAATACCAAAACGATAAAGAAATTTGTGAGGAAAACGAACTTATGAAGCATGGTATATGCCATCCGTTTGATATTCCACCCATATAAATTCATCAAAACATAATCATGATACATGCCCGCGCATACGCGCGGGCTATCTTCCTGTTTATAAAAAAATTGTGTAATTACTACTCCCTTCGTTTCATATTACAATTCCTTTGACTTTTTTCTTATTCAAACTTTGTTATGTTTGACCAAATTTGTTAAAAAAATAAAGCAACATTTTCAATACAAAACAAACATATTATCATAATATATTAAATATTAGTTTAATGGAACTAATTTGGTATTATATTTTTTTTAAATTTTTTTTATGAACTTAATCAAACTTAGATATGTTTGACTAGCAAAATATCATAACAACTTATTATATAAAATGGATGCATAGTATTTTTTTCACTTTCACCTGAGTGCACACCATGTACGTTAGTACTCCCTCCTTCAAATAGTCTAGGTCCTTTTTTTTTGCACCAAGACCAAGGTATAGTTAACTCATTCATCTTATGACAAAACTAATAAACATGCAACCAATAAGTATTAAAATGATTTCTTCGGTTCCGATCAAAAGTTTAATATAGCATATAATAACTACAAATAGGACTTAGACTTTTAGAAAAAATTAAAGAATAAAATAGGACTTAGACTTTTGGAAGGAGTGAGTACTAGAGGGAAGTGGGCAGCTACAAATTTTAGGGTAAAACCTATTTTTTGCCCTCAACTTTGCTCAAAGTCCATTCGTCATCCTGAATTACAGAAACGGTTATTTCTCACTTTCAACTTTTTAAAACCATATACTTGGGTCTAAAACATATGGATTTCTGATCGATGTACTAGAGCTAGTGGTTTTTTTTTCTCACATAAACTTAATTTAGGGAAGTTTCGTAATTGTGGGCCTACTTAGGTGACATCTACATGGACAATGAGTGCAATGTCAATATGAACTAGGAAAGGCAATTCCATTGCAAGCAAAATCAATAAAAATATTATCATAGTATTTTTCTTGTCTAGTTTAAAAAATGGAGGGTGGGGGTAAAAAAAACCGGTTTTATAGTTTAAGGTAAAAATAGACTTTGAGCAAATTTCAAAGATTAAGAGCTTGTTTGGAATGGAAGACAAAACGTAAGAACACAAAGTACACGAATGCAGCCGTATAACAGAAAATGTAAAAAATTAACACAATCGATAGATAATTGGGGTTTGAGATGAAGGAATTTCGTCTCATCTCATTCTTCAACATAGCAAAAGTAAATATTGACTTTTACTGGACATTTATTTTCCGACATTATTGGTGCAAAAGTAAATGGTGCAAGAAATTCTTCCTCGGTTTTGCCTCCTCCTGTTACTGTACATTGTTCCAAACAGAGAGACAGTGACTTTTCATATGATTTTAATTCGCTTCGACTAACCCTCGCTTAAAAATAAATTTTACCCTAAAATTTACTATTGATCTTCGACGATCCTTTCTGTAGTATCTTGTCGATAAATATCCAAGAATAAACCCTCTATTGGACTGCTGGATATTTGCGCCTGGTGATTAGTTTAGATGAAATAATATCATAAAAAACATTTATCTAAAAAAAATATCATAAAGAACATTTTTTATGATATTATTTCATGTTAGACATAATGTTGCCAAGTGTAGCTTTTATTCAGCATTTTTTTTCCATTTTTTCATGCTGAAACAAGATGGCAGCAGACAATATAAATCATATATATTGTTCATGGATGCAAGATTATAATGCTTAGTAAATTTATACTATTCGTCTCCATACTCTTCTCCATCTCTCGTTTTAACCATTGATGAATTTATGGCACTGCAGGACGGTTAGGACAAGAAATGAATCAAACCGGTGTGATTTTAATAAATGGCCGGCAGGAAAAGCTTGCCTTCGGAACCTCGGTAAGAAATCATTATATCAGCTGTCACTCACAATTGTATTTTCCAACCATTTATCTCGGGAAAGGTCAAGGTTAATTACTAGCCATGCTTTTAATTTGCTGCCTTTTATGCACTTTGTTGTAATTGCATACTACACTGACAAAATATCTACTGTAATAATCAATTAGCTAATAATTATATACAATAATACATGAATTAATAATGAAACTCTTAACAAAGAATATTTTTTAAGCTTCACAGGAGGTGAGGCTTGTCTCTCGTCTCTGTTTTTTTTTCTGTGAGGAATTTTATTTCACCGCATTATCATGCCAAACTGATCAGCCCATATAGATGTGTACATGAAGTGCACAGCCCAAAAAATATTAATTCTTTACTGTCAGCTAAAAAAATAATTATAATTCTTGTGTAGGCATATGTAACCCAAGACAACGTGCTCATGTCGACTCTATCGGTGAGAGAAGCCGTCTACTACTCGGCTCACCTGCAGCTACCTGACACGATGCTGGCGTCAGAGAAGCGCGCCCACGCGGAGCGTGTAATCCGGGAGATGGGGCTTAGCGACACCATGGACACGCGCATCGGCGGCCGTATCACCAAGGGCATCAGCGGCGGGCAGCGGAAGCGGATGAGCATCTGCATTGAGATGCTGACACGGCCGCGGCTGCTTTTCCTCGACGAGCCCACCAGCGGGCTGGATAGCGCCGCCTCCTACCACGTCATGAGCCACATCACCCGGGTCGCTGCCAGGGAAGGGATGACTGTCATTGCCGCTGTGCACCAGCCCAGTGGCGACGTCTTTGACCTCTTCCATGGTCTCTTATTGCTAGCCTATGGGAGGATGGTATTCTTTGGGACAGTTTCTAATGCTACTGAGGTAATTAATTGACACTCTTTTTGTATGCTATCTATTTTCACTGGAATTTTGACTTTTGATTAAAATTTTATTCACAAAGATTTTAGATTTTAGGTACTACTTTTCCATCCAACCACCCCTCATTTAATTTTCACCCGATTTTACACATAAACACGCTCCACTCATTAACTACCCCTCATTTAATGATGGACATTATAGTCTTTTCCTTTTATTCTTAATCTCTTCAAAAGAAACTAGAATCCGTTGTATTCGTAAATAAGAAAACATATGCATTTAGCAAAGTTGGACTTCGATCAGTGTCCGAAATGTATTTTCCATTCAGTGCGACTAGAGGGAGAATATGTCAGCCTAACAACTATGTTTGTAACTAATAACCACAATCTCTTTAATTGCTCTTGAAATTGCACATCTATATTCATCTATTTCAGTTTTTTACCCAAAGTGGTTTTCCATGCCCACACCTGAGGAACCCATCCGACCACTTCCTGAGAACAATCAACAAGGACTTTGATGAGGTATAGGTGTTTTATTATCATATTTTGACAACCATGTTGTAATAACATTCTTTTCTGCCAGGACTGTTGGAAGTATATTTATTTACTTAGCATTACAATGTATGTAGGGAACTATGGAAAGCTCCAAGGCTAACAGAAAAACAGCAGCTGAAGCAACAAATATTCTAACAAATGCATACCACTCCACTTATTCAGAGAAAACAGCCAATGAGATAGTTGAGATGAAAGGGATGGTATGTTACGATTATTAATTAGTTGAATTTTCTTTAAGATATACTTCCTTTGTTTCACATTATAAAATGTTTTGGGTTTTCAATAGATTCATGCATGGATCCATATGTCTTTATATATGTGTCCAAATTCATATATATGGATATGTTAGTAAATCTAGATGAGAGAAGAAGAGGACAAAACGTCTTGTAATGTGGAACGGAGATAGCATGCTGACGGAGCGTGGGGCTCCTCACCGGGAGACCGCGCAGGCCCCCCTTTGCCGGTTCGGCCGGGGGCGCTAAGTGAGGTTCTTCACCCTCGATCTGTGGAATGTTCGCGAGAGAGCAAATGCACGAGACACGGGCGATGTAGACAGGTTCGGGCCGCTGAGAAGCGTAATACCCTACTCCTGTGTTCTGGTGGATCTATGTGTGAAGGAGTTACAGAGAGCCGGAGAGCAAGAGAGTTCAGGCTCTAGAACCCCTCTTCCTCTTTCTCTTCTCTACGAGCTCAGGTATTCTCAGAGTCGTCTGAGAGTCCCCCCTTCCTTCGGTGGGCAAGGTCCTCCTTTTATATCTCAAGGGGATACCACATGCACCACTTCTACCTACTCTTCTTTTGGGTGGGGACCCACCCTATCTTGACCAAAACTTGGCTCGCGCCTTCGCCTGGAAGCTAAATCACAGCTTGTCCTTGAGTGAGGCCCAGCGCCGTCACTCGCCTGACACAGGGGATAACCCTGTCATTCCTTCATTATGGGTGGAGATTTGCAATGGCCGCTGTCCGAATAACCCTCCGATGGGATGGGTCATACCTACCTCCACTCCGCCGGAAGCAGATGCAACGTGGGAGCACGGTTGTCTGCCGATGACGTGACCGGCGTCAGACCAGTCACAGACCGGTCATTCTTGTCCACCGCGCGTCAGTTTAGCATGCCGCACGTCTGCCCTTCTTCATACAATGACTTCCTTGCCATGGTTGCGATGAAGCCTGGAATGAATCTGGCCGGGACTGACATACCAACTCCAGGAGTTAGCACGCCGGCTCCGGCCAGGGACGAGTGCCTGGAGGCTCTCATCATTCCGACGGGACGGGGCGAGGCGTGTGACAGGCCGGGGCGAGGCGTGTGACAGGCCTCCTGTTGCCACCTAACCCGCGATCTGACAGGTCTGTGACCGGTCACACACTGCGACCGGTCACGGACCGGATAAGCGTGCGCTGCGCTGCATTAAATGCGGCGTGGCGCGCTCGTCCAACCCGCAATAAATGTGGTTAGGTGAGCCCCGCTGTGCTCACCTAACCCATACACGTGGCGCCAAAATCACAGGGGGTCGGGGCGCCCCAGCCCTCGGGGCCAAAACAGGGGCGGCCCGACCCCTCGGGGAGACAGAGGGAGGGATGGCCACATCATCCTCGGGCCCGACCCCCCCGAGGGGGTCAGGCCACGTGGGTGACCGCGGCTACCCAAGCCTCTAGTCACGATACCCTCGGCCCCATGTCACCGACACATGCTCTTAGTTTTGTTCACAGGGCACTCTGTAATCACAGATAAAACTCTATGGACGGATATGTGGTATATATATAAAGAAATTATGAATAAATAAAAAATTTAATTGTTACTCAGCATTCTATGAATTTTTATAGACCAATTCTTACAACCATCCAGTTTTCATTTCAATGAACATGCAGTCCTTCACCATTGCATTTTGTTACTGTTTATATTTGATCATGTCCCCTGCCTTTGCCAACCTACTATATGAAAGTTTGCTTTCTCCAAAAAGTCATTCTTTTAACTGCTATCAATAAATATGTGTTTTGCTTTATTTTCAATTTGACAATACTTTTCTACTAAATACTGTTTTTTTATCGAAGTCACTTCATCATTGTTTCAAATAGTAAAACCGCTAAATCTATATTATAGTTTTTTTTTCTTTTTTTGCGTATGCTCACGGTAATCGTTCGTTTCGATAGAGCTACTAAAAGTACATCATAGAAGTTTGAAACATAATTAGTTGTTAAATTATTATGTTTGCATTGATGCTTCATGGCCTCATAGATATATATTTGCTTTTGTATTATGTGTTAACAGGGTGGAACTCCATTTAGAAGGAAAGAGCAAGCCAGCTTCTTGACAAAGCTCCTTGTGCTAACAAGAAGATCCTTCCTAAATATGCACAGGGACATAGGCTACTACTGGATGCGTTTGGGCATTTATTTGGGCATTGGCATTTGCCTCGGCACCATCTTCTACCAAGTTGGTTACAGCTACAGTTCTATCCAGGTGAGTTGGGTAATAAATATTCATTAGAAATATATGGTTTTACCTAGGGAAACATATAATCCGTGTTATGTACAGTTGTATTGATATACTTGCTCAAATGTTTCAGAGTAGATGTGAAGTAATAATGTATACAACCGCGCTTGTAACTTTCATGGCAATTGGAGGATTCCCTTCTTTCGTAGAGGACATAAAGGTAATGTTCTATCCTGATGTAAACTGGAATTTTCTGCAACATTGTTTCCCTTAGAACTATTATATTTTCAAATCCCACTAATTATTTTCTCTTGTAGAATTGAATTCTCAGTGTTACAGTTATCTGATTTATATTTGGGAAAACTAAATGTAAAGCACTCGTCCAGATGTCTCTATATATGTTAATATTTATATTTAGAAGAAACAATATGAGTGACATCTTACACTTGTGTTTTAAAATACAAAGGAACTGGATTTACAATTTATTAGAAGAAAACAGTATAGTGATACTTTTCAATAACAGGAAATGTTTCTTCTTGTACTAATAAAACAAAACAGTATTTTATTTTCCTTATTCAAAAAATAACATCTTTGTTCAAACAAGAAGTCAAACAGATATAAATGTTTTCCTTCTTCCGCTGTAATAACGCATAAATCATACCATAACTCCTGAGAACATTTTTTGGAAATCAGTTATTCAGAAGGGAGAGATTGAGCGGCCATTACGGAGTCATGGAATTTGTAATCTCAAACACCCTCTCAGCCACCCCTTACCTTGCCGTCATCGCTGTGATCCCCGGAGCAATGATGTATTACCTCACAGGGCTGACCCGAGGTGCGGAACACTTCGCATACTTCGTCGCCACACTCTGCATGTGCACGCTGCTGGTAGAGAGCATGATGATGATCATCGCAGTCATCGTCCCAGACTTCCTCATGGGAATCATCATCGGTGCCGGGATACAGGGCATGATGATGCTCAATGGTGGCTTCTTCCGCCTCCCGAACGAGCTCCCGAAGCCGGTGTGGAAGTACCCTTGCTACTACATCTCCTTCCACAAGTATGCGGTGCAGGGGTTTTACAAGAATGAGTTCATAGGGCTGTCTTTTCCAAGTGATCAGCTCATCGAGGCCAATGCCACTATCAGTGGTCTTCAGGTTCTCAAGGAAAGGCTGCAAGTGGAGATGGGCTATTCAAAGTGGGTAAACCTTGCTATCCTGTTTGGGATGATGGTGACATACAGGATGATATTCTTCGTTATTGTCAAGATTGCAGAGGAGCTCAGGCTAAAACTGAGAGGGATTAGATTTAGACGGCTTAAATAGTCGTCTTCTCTCTTGGAAAACCCGGCCAGGAGGAAGGGATCATTAAACACAAATAAAATTTGAAGTACAGAATGTACTACAGTAGTGTGGACTTATGTCATTTGAGCTTGATAATTCCTAACGGGTATTTTCTGGCATTTTAGTCCTTTGCCAATGGAACAAAATTGTAAAGGATTTTTTAAGGTAAACCAAGTTATCGTGAACGGTTCGTTGCACAGTGTTAAAGGGCTAACATTGCTCCTATCGCATCGGTGGTAAGATGTCATTTCTTCATATTTCAATTTTCTTAATGCCAAGTATTGCATTCCAAAAATGAATATATGGAGCAATAATGCCTAATGTAAGCACCGACATATTTTAATGTTCTTCCTGAAAAGTGACAGCAAGAGTGAAATGTGAAGAAATAATGAATATTTATACAGTGATGTATTTACAAACGGCCTGGTTTGAAACTTTTCTTCTGGGAGAGAAAAAGTTTGGGACAAATCCATATGAAAGGATTCTATAGATAAAACAAAATAAATGGTAGTAGAACGCATTGCTGTTTGAGATGTGTACACCTTTAAGAAATAAGATATATACAAAATACAATTCTCCACCTCAGATCCTGTTATCTCCTCCATTCTGTGGATATATAGAATTGTCAGAATTCTTCTCTTAATCTGCATCTATGGCTGCTGTCACTAACATCACTATATGCAAGATATATAAGCTATGTTTCTGCAATATTAGCTCCTATTATAACAAGTTATAAAGAAACACTAGCTATTGTTTGCAACTACAATGTGATAATGCATATTGGTGTTGTCTTGAAAAAAGTTCTGCAAAACTAAAGGTACTGATAAATTAAGGTGTTCGATTGGTGTAAATTTAACAAGTAGGTTTCCGCTGTAAGTTGTTCATTCTTGTCGCAGGAGTGCGAATTTCTTTATAAGTTTGTTCCAAAAACCTTCCGTTCCACCTATAAGATGGATGTTTACCCCTAATTCATTAGAATCGGTTCTTCTAGCCGGTTTTGATTTGTAAACCCATCTTGTTCAGGAGTTTCTAGATATCAAGGTGGTTGGTGATTCTGTAACACCAAAGCTTGTCAAGGTTAAAAATGTTGATGACTCCGTAAAATCATAAAACTTCAGGTGACCGACTGTGATAGTGCCTAAAAAAGGAGTCAACTGACATATATGGCACCTCCTTTGGCCAGATCTGGACAGGGATGAAGGCACGAATTGAAAGTATAGGGAGGCGAGATGAAGATATCCTAGAGCACACTAGATGGTAGGCCAGTGGAGAACTCATAGACAGACCAATAATGGGCACAATAAGGAAGCACCATGTCGACCAGTTCGACTCCCCTGCCTCCTTTTCCTTGTACCCATTATTGGTATAAACCCCATGGGTAGATGTTGACAGTGGTTCCCTGTTCCACGAGGTATCTAGCTATGAGCCGATGGTACGTAGTGTTGTTGGAAATCAAAGAATGGCGGTGCAGCCGTTAGGTGGTGATAGTCTCTAGAGCCATGAATCTTAAGCGGCAAAACTTCAAGTGGGTGTTCAACAAAGGCTTCAGGACCGGAGGTGATATAGATCATCGAGGTGGCAGCGTAAGTGGTTTTATGGGGAGTATGAGGTCTTTTTTCTTTATTCATTTTCATTTTTACACCCTAGGAGCACTATCACTGTCGTTTCCTGGACCGGCAGTAATAGTCTGGGGGAACTTTTATGGTACATTCTACTACTAGTATATACTAGCAGTATATTTGATCCAACGGTGTAAATTCATCTAATTTTCCTCCTAACTATCCTGCAGTATAAATTGAATTGGGTAAATTTGTCTTTTATCTTTTTGCATGGGGGTATTTTTGTAAATTCATGCTATCTCACTTAGTCAGATCCGTTTGCCCGGCACCAGTCGAAACCGAAGCCGCTCGGCTTGCAACCACCGCCGCTGGTTTCTTTGGCGCCGCCCCTGCCACCGTCAGCCACAATCGGCGCCGCCGCCATCGGAAATCGATTCGATTTCCCTCCTTTTCTCTCGTGTCTTTCCGTCCACCCAAAACCCCATTTTTTTCCAAAAAATCCCCCAAATCGGCGCCGGATGCTGGGTCTACGGGAGGGCGCTGGCCGGCAGACCAGGCGAAGGTGCAGAAGGGCGCCAGGGAGGGAGCAAGATGGGCCCAGCCTCCGTCGCCGGTGTCGCCAGATGTAACGAGAAGAAGCGGATGACGAATTGACGATATCCAGGGAAAAAAATCCACGGGAAAGCTAATCCCTATTTGTGATAAAAAAACAATCTCTATTTTAAATGACTAAACAACCCTTTTCAGAATTTTAACAAATACCAAATCTACCCTTTTATATACTGTTAGTATATACTAGCAGTAGTATATACTGTTAGTATATACTAGCAGTAGAATGTACCGTAAAAGTTCTCTAGTCTGGAGGCATCATTGCCTATGTTTCACTGCCAATTTTGGCAGTCTGGAATTGTGGCAATGATAAACGCTTTTGTACTAGTGTGTTGCATTATGTAAAACAAAATAAAATGAGATGATTCATTTTTTACTCATGTGATAAGCCCCAAAGAATTAGACAAGATGTGGTAAAATTCCTTTTTTTGTCCTCGAAAACAACATATTTGATTTCCTGGCCAATTTGTCCTCGACATTTTTTTATTTGTATTAATGTAGACCATCATGAATTATCTAGTGAAAGTAACAATAATCATTAAGGATATCTTTCCTCTCCATATGTGAACAATGTAACAATGTAATAATTTGAACAATACTGTATAAAAAATAAAGAGTAAATTGCATTGGCGGTACACAAACTTGTTAAATGGGTACAATTTAGTGCATAAACTTGTAAAATGCTCGTTTCAGTACACAAACTTTTCTAGTTCGTGCGAACAAGGACCAAAATAACTTGGCAATATTAATTTTACAAAGCTGATGTTGATTAGAAATTGTGACGTGCATACATGTAGTGAGTATGCATAAGAAAAGCAATATTTAAAAATTTGGTCTCTACTTTATGCTTCATCATGGAAATGATGAATTCCATATATCCTGATTGGATTTTTTTATCACTGATTGGATTTTTTTAATCTTTTTCTACTATTACTATATCCTATTCTATTTTTTTATTGAAGATGTGTATGTCTAATAGCAACCTTCTTTGATATATGTCTACATAGCATCCTAATCAACTTCTAAATCAATAAGATTAGCCATGCAGTGTCCTTTTCGCCTTCCCCCGCATGCACTAGACAAGTTCATGCACCAAAACAAGCATTTTACAAGTTTGTGCACTAAATTGCACCCACCTGACAAGTTCGTGTACCGGCAATGCAATTTACTCAAGAATAAAAGTAATTGTCAGGGATATCACAGATTCTTTAAAGTTTTTTTAATACAAATATAACAATGTAACGGCCTAAAGGCATCATCAATGATGAGATACACAATAATCATAAAATTGGACCCACATGCATACATCTTTTTACCTATAGGTAATACTATAATGTTTAAGATTTTTCTCTTGACCTTAAGCTTGATCCTTTTAGTATGAAGGATTCAAACCAAGATACATTAAAAAGGCATAAGATATAAAATAATTTTATATTCTTATGGCTAGATCTAAGGTGAGCGTTCGGTTTCCTCGGATGTTGCGGTTCGTTTTCTTCGGTTTTTTAGAAATTCGGTTCTAGACAAATCTAAGCCGAAGAGTTTGTAACAAAACAATAAACCGCGCCCAAAAAACCAAACTTATTCGGTTTGGTTTGGTTCGGTTCGTCGGTTTACCGAGTAAGCCGAAAAAAAGGTACGTACCTGTTCTGCCATGCCGCAGGCTGAAGTCCTGCAAGCAGCGTAGCAACATATTGGGCCACGGTGGTAGTCGGATGGGCTGGATTGGCTATGGGCCGTACGGGTTTTAATGAGAAATGGATGCTATTAATGGACTTTTCCATTGGTCAAAGGCTTAGACAATGCTGTTTTCACGTAGGGGAATGGGATCTTAGAGATTGATCGGTTTGTACGGATGGGTGGATTCTTCAGTTGTTGGAGATGAGAAACCGATGGAGAAGCCGAAGACCGATCTACTGGAGAAATAAAACTGAAGGAGGAACCGACTATCGAAAAAACCAAGAGTTCGGTTCGGTTCGGCCTTCGGTTTTCGGTGATTTTATGCCCACCCCTAGCTAGATCTAAGCTTAAGTTTGTTTGTCATAGCCATTATCTCATGCAATCACATTAATTTATTGCTTAAGCTTTTCTTTACATGCACATTGGAGATGCCTTAAGGATCTCCATGCATGTCCACAACATAACATGGTCCGACTTAAAATAAAAATTAAAAACGGATGCGACATGAAGTATAGCTCACTGAAAGAATAGACTAATAGACAAAACCGCAGGTAGTAAAGTAAAACAATCTACGGCAGCAATGCACCTGTAAATATCTATTTTCTAGAGCTTTGGTGGGAAGTGTAGTAATCTTACAGCTTGGAACCAATTGATTTTCTAGGTTGAGATTGTTCAGCTAACACAAAAATGATATTGCTTTAGATAGAATTTGCTTCAAAATAGACAAATCTTTGTCCAGTAGATGTATGATGCTTTTGGACAATTATAACCCTGTTAATAATCTATAGAAAAGTGAAAGGACCTGTGGGTTGTGGCCTAGCAGTAGCATCTCTAAATCTTAGGTTCGATTCTACATGGAAGCGAATTTTAGGTCTTTTAAAAAAGTTACTTGCTAGCCTCTTATAAAACATATGTTAAGAATTGATCTATAGATGACGGACCCTTATGTTACATAGGGACTAGGAGCCACAAAGCACGGTTAAGTATTGATCCATAAGGGACGAGTCCACATATGGGGACAGGGTTCGTAGCTTTAATTGGCCGGTTTCCATGAGGCTTCTTCTACCAAATGAAAAATTGTGGGGTGGTCATTTACCCGTCATTCGAGTTTTTTTTTTAATAATCAATAGAAGATTATGGAAGTCGAATATCCGTCGAAGGAGAAGGTATATTGGTAGTTGAAAAGAGGAGCAATGTTAAAAACGATAATTAATAAAAAGAAAATGGAAGTACAGCAGAAGATGTTTTTGTCACAATAATGAGACCATGCACCACTTATTCTATTTATGGATTGTTCTCACTATCTACAGGGCTGGCGGGGTCAGGTGAGTAGTACAGCTGCTCCGGGCCCCCAAATCGAAGAGGGCCCGACCTACCCTCCTCCCCGTAGGCCTCTGATGTTGTGGCCCCATTGGAGGCAGGACAGAACATCCCCACTCACAATTCCTACGTTGCGAGATTGCCGCTCTACAGACGCACTTTGTGGTTGTAGGATCGAATAAAGTAACCTAGCTTACAATAGGGAAGGGGTGAATGGTTTTATGTTAGACTTGGTGGGACCCACCAT